TACCACTTGAGCTACAGCGCCACTTCCAGTTTTCTGGTGGTTTATTGGAGATAGGAGTCTCACGGTCTCTCCTGCCCGGGCTGGCTTTGAACCGAGATCCTCAGATCTCAGCCTCCTGAGTAGCTAGGATTACAGGCGTGAGCCACCAGCACCCGGCTCATGTACCACTTTTTAAGAAAACTATTTGATTCTGCTTTAGAATTATCTTGGCTTTTTATGAAGACAATAAAGAAATTCCTTAGATATTATAACCTGAATTGCCAGGAGTTAAATGTTCTGAGGGGTATTAGGATATACAAGAACAATGTAAGAATATGTCAACATGTTGTTGTAATTGTTTTTATTTTATTTAAACATTAATTACACACTGACCTAAATGATTTTTCATTTGATAGAATTATGCTTTTGAATAGGAACTGAAGTTCTAGATTATTTTTTTCCTTTTGTGCTTGTCCTATGGCTTGAACTCAGGTCCTGGTCCCTGTCCTTCTACAAACTTTGAGCCACAATTCCATCTCTAGCTTTTTTGGTAGTTGGAGATAAGAGTCTCAATAACTTCCTTGCTCAGGCTGGTTTCAAACCATACTTCTCAGGTCTCAGCTGCCTGAATAGCTAGAATTACAAGCATGAGCCACCACTACCCAGCTGAATTTCTGCATTATTAATAGTAACATTAACAATGATACATAAGAGCCATTAAGTTTTAGGCCTAACTGTTCTGGATTCTTAAGTTATGGCCACCCAGTCATAAAAACATTTACAACCTATCATTTTTAAGCTTAAATAAACTTACACAAAAATATTTTTAATATTTCTACAAGATTACTATATTAAACATACAGAAATAGAAAAAAGTATGACAAACCTTCCATAACCCAATTTCAGCTTATTAATGTATGTTAATCATATCGTCCAGACAAGAAGACCTTCTTTGTATTTCTGAACATATCTCCAAATAAGTGTTTTTTGCTACTAACAGGATTCTTTGTCTTTAAAGATTTCCCATATTCTGGATTTTTACTGATTACATGTATGGTGTAATTTAACAGATTCCTTAATCCTTTATATTTACTATACATTGGCAGTTAAGCCTAAAATGAGTATTAGCAAGATTCCACTTTTGTTCTTTTCTAAAGAATTACAATTTTTTGTATACTTTTTTTCCTGGTACTGGTTTTTTAACTCTTGGCCCTTATACTTAATAGAGAAGCTCTCTACCACATGAGCTACCTCCTTTTTGCTGGGAGTTTTCAGATAGGTTATTGTTCTTTTGCCTAGCTGCACCGGCAATCCTACCTAAGCCCTCCATATAGCTAGAATTATAAATCTGAACACCACACCAGGCTTGTCTTTTGAAATAGGATCTCACTAACTTTTTTGCCCATGCTGGGCCTGAATCTTCATTTTTCTCTTTTTTTTTTTTTTGTGGGGGCTGGGGTCCGGTCGTAGGGCTTGAACTCTGGGCCTGGGCGCTGTTCCTCAACTCTTCAGCTCAAGGCTAGCGCTCTGCCACAGCGCCACTTCTGGCTTTTTTTCTTTTTGCTTATGTGGTGTTGGGGAATCGAACCCAGGGCCTCATGCATGCAAGGCAAGCACTCTACCACTGAGCCACCTTCCCAGCCCCCATTTTTCTCATCTCTGCTTCCTTTAGAGTTGGAATTGTAGACACTGTCATCACAGGTAGTTTAGTGTACTTTGTTAAAAAGATACACAGCGTTTATTAGTCTTTATTTGTTTATTTTAAAATTACCAGTGATAGCCGGGCGCTGGTGGCTCATGCCTGTAATCCTAGCTACTCAGGAGGCTGAGATCTGAGGATCGAGGTTCAAAGCCAGCCCGGGCAGGAGAGACCGTGAGATTCCTATCTCCACTAAACCACCAGAAAACTGGAAGTGGCGCTGTAGCTCAAGTGGTAGAGCACTCGTCTTGAGCTGAAGAGCTGAGAGACAGCGCCCAGGCCCAGAGTTCAAGCCCCACGACCGACAAAAAAAAAAAAAATTACCAGTGATGACTATTGTCTGGATTAGTAGGTCATAAGTGGAGAGGCAGTTTTGCTCTCTGAGAAATATTTGCCAATATCTGGAGACATTTTGTTTGACATAGGGAAGGAGCTACGAATATTCAACAAGTAGTGGGGAAATGCCAAATGTCCTATAATATTTGAGCTAGAAATCCTAGAATGTAAAAAGAAAAAGAAAAGAAAAGAAACCCTACAATGTGTCCTTTTACCCACAGCAAATAATGTCACCCACACTAATATTGCAAAGATTGACAGAAACCCAGGCTAAATAGACATTTTTTGATCTGCTTCTTACACTTTAGCAGAATACCACAGACCAGGTAAATTAAAAAAAAAAAAAAAAAACAAAGTTATTTGGCTTATGGTTTGCAGTCTAGCAAGTTAAGATCAGAGGCCACATCTTCCTCCTGGTCTTCTTCCTGCATCCTAACATGGCAAGAAGGGTACACACGGGGCCTGGTCATCTTCATCCTTTCATCAGAAATTTACTGTAAGATATTGATGATGACAAAGTCATAAAACTCACAAGTTTTGGAGGTGACCTTCAGACCATAGCAGCCTACTAATTACTAAAGGTTAAATGTATAGTATTCAGTTCATTTAAGAGAAAACTTAAAGTAATTTTGCATATCAATGTTGTTTCCCTGAGATACAAATCATATGAGAAACAGAACGATTTTTCTTTCTGGCTATATGCCAGATTTTTTAAAAAGAAAAGTTGATTTCCTATCCTCATCCAGAGGTGTGTTTCAGAGGTTAATGCATACTGCTAGTAATAGCTGTCAAGTTGGCGTCTGAGTTCTTTTTGCTGTGATAATATAGCCTGGGTTTGTGCACATTTAGGAAACATTTTCTCTTGAGACCACATTTCTTTTTTCTTTTTTTCTTGCCAATCCTGGAGCTTGAACTGTGGGCCCAGATGCTGCCCCTGAGCACCTCAAGGCTAGTACTTTTCCATTTGAGCCACAGTGCCACTTCCAGCCCAGACTTTCTTGCCCAGGCTGGCTTTGAACCACAATCCTCAGATCTCATCCTCCTGAGTAGCTAGGATTATAGGCGTGAGCCTCCAGCTCCTGGCTGAGACTGAATTTCTTTTCATGGAAAGTTAAATTTAGAGACTACAGTGTGAGTGCTAGAGTGAACATTACTTCAAAAACTATGGCCAATAGTTTTTAAAAATGTTTTTCTATGTAAAGAGCTAGTTTTGAGGATAATTCAGTTTCTTTAAGTTGAATTTGAATTTTCCTTACTCTGATGAGAAGTTACTCTATCTAAAGATACCTAATGTATATTAAAATTTGTTTCTTGATCTACTCTGCTTGATGTAAAAATTTGGTGAGATATTGCCTTGATCAAGAGCATTGATATTCAAAGACAACCTGGGCAAAAGTTAGCAACTCCCCATCTCAACCAGTAAGCTGCAAGTGTTTTGGTACACATTGTTATTTCCAACAGCATGGGAAAAATAAATAGGACAATCGCCGGACACTAGTAGCTCACGCCTGTAATCCTAGCTACTCAGGAGGTTAAGATCTAAGGGTCATGGTTCAAAGCCAGCCCGTGAGACTCTTATCTCCAATAAACCACTAGAAAATCGGAAGTAGGGCTGTGGCTCAAGTGGTAGAGCGCTTGCCTTGAGCTGAAGAACACAGGGACAGCACCCAAGCCCAGAGTTAAAGCCCCACGACCAACCAAAAAAAAAAAAAAAGAAATAGGTTATAGCTGGGTGCTGGTGGGCAAAAACACTAATCCTAGCAACTCAGAAACTTCTATGATGTTAGGGGAATGAACCCATTGAGTATTCAAATGTTTTTTTGTTTTTCCTTTCATGCAATTGTTTCTATCATATTTATAAGATGATTTCTTTGTTGCTTTGTATGTCCCTCCCCCACAGTATAACCCATACTTTCACTGTATTTGCTGTTGGTACAATTTGGAGGGGAATGGAAAAAAAAAAAAACAAATCGTTTAACTAGGGATACAGGTGGACCCATTGCAGCAAGGAGATGTACAAATTGTTATGTTGAAAAACGAACTTAACAAACAACTTTGGTGGGGGGTGGGGGAGAATCAGTAGGGGGAGGGGAGGAGTATGGGAAGGGATGGGAAAGGGAAACAACGAGGAGGCAACAATGCTTGATAAGAAATGTACTCGTTATCTGGCCCATGTAATTGTAACTCCTGTACAGTATTCTCACAATAAAAAAAAAAACTTCTAAGAAAAGCAAAAAGGGATAGGCACATAGATCAAGTGGTAAAAGCCCTGAGATCAAACCACTGTTTTTAAATTGTTATTATAAAGATGTTGTACAGTGATGTTAAAATTACATAACAGTGCTACATAAGTCATAAGTGATGAGTATATTTCTTTTTGAACAATGTCACCTCTTCTCTGCTCTTGCCTAGTTTTTTCCTATCATCCCCACCCACAATTTGTGTAGTTCATTTTAACAGTGTCTAATGAATACCACTGCTGCATTTGTTCACTCTTTGTCACTCTATTTCTACGCTCCCCCTTCCCCTCCCAAAAATAGCTAAACAAATAAGATGAAAACAAAAACAGCAACAAAGAAACTCTTGTTTACATTTCCTGGAGTTTATTTCCATAAATAATATCTTATATGCTCAGGTGTACATAGGCATTGTGCCTATCTGTGTTTCTCTACTAAGAATATCCTCCTTGGGCTGGGAAGGTGGCTCAGTGGTAGAGTGCTTGCCTTGCATGCATGAGGCCCTGGGTTCGATTCCTCAACACTACATAAGCAAAAAGAAAAAAGCCGGAAGTGGCTCTGTGGCTCAAGTGGTAGAGTGCTAGCCTTGAGCTGAAGAGCTGAGGGACAGCGCCCAGGCCCAGAGTTCAGGCCCCACGACTGGACCCAAAAAAAAAAAAAGAATATTCTCCTTTGGTCTCACTGTGTGAATGCCTAAAATCCTATTCAATTTATCATGTCCCAGTGTATTTAAGATCTAGCTTGTGCAAATGAGAGAAAATAAGAACCATTTGTGCCTCTGAGCTTGGCTTACCTCTAGGTTTGTTCTAGGTCCATCCAATTCCCTGCAGATGACATTATTCTTTCTAATGGCTGTGTAAAAAATTCCATTATGTGTAAGTATCACTTTTTTTTTTTTTTTTGGCCAGTCCTGTGGCTTGAACTCAGGGCTTAAACTCGGCCTGAGCACTGCCCCTGAGCTGCTTTTGTCCAAGGCTAGCACTCTACCACTTGAGCCACAGCTCTACTTCCAGCTTTTTCTGTTTATGTGGTACTGAGGAATTGAACCTAGGGCTTCATGCATGCTAGGCAAGCATTCTACCACTAGGTCACATTCCCAGCCCCTGGTTCTGAAGTTTTAATTTAGGGCCCTACACTGCTTTCCTTAGCCCTCATCAGTTTTATAATGGTATTGCAGTGATTGTTATTTAATCAAGTTTATTACTTCTTGCCTATATTTCTTCCTAATAGATTTCCTTTAAAGTTCAGTAGAATGATAGTTAAAATGTCATACATTGTTTTAATTTTTTTTCTTAGCTGATTTCATGCCAATATTGGGAACCAACCTAAATCCAGAGTTCATTTCAGTTTGCAACAATGCCACATGGGCAATTGGAGAAATCTCCATTCAAATGGGTAAGATTTTTTTTTCCCCCTGAAGAGCACAAATACTTAAATGGCTTGAAAAAGTTCTTTTTTTTTTTTATTTAAAATCAGTTTTTGTATGTATACATGACTTATGTATGACACAGTTAATAAGAGAAACAAAACGCTTTATTAAGGTTTTAACATTCAATTTTTCTCTTTTATTTCTTTTTGTGGGATGATCTAGGTATAGAGATGCAGCCTTATATTCCTATGGTGTTGCACCAGCTTGTAGAAATCATTAACAGACCCAACACACCAAAGACGTTGTTAGAGAACACAGGTACCATATGACTGAACTGTTATGGTGAAAAGAAAATTAGTTGCCTTATAACTTTTCAATTAAGATGCGTAGAGAAACCAAAGCTAGCTTTAACAAACCCAACTGCTTACTATTTATTTTGGATTTTTACTAATGAATTATTTTAGCTACATTTCATGAGTAGTTTATAGAAATATGAGAAAAACACTTTGTCCCCATTCCCATGTTTCAATTCTTCCTAAAAATGATTCTAGCTAAGACAAACATTGAACTATATGAGAGAGTAACTGGGAAGTGAGAAGTGTTAAGTTTTTAATCTATAAAAATGTGGCCAAAATACATTGTAATTCAGTGACTGATTGGCTAACAATGGCCTGTGTATTATGAAATTTCCTGCAATTGGGAACTTATCTAGGAGGCTTGTTTCTCTTTTGCATTTATAGACAGCATGTTGATGTTAAAGAGTACCTTCCATACTATAGAAAACATTTAGGGGTGATTGAGTCCTTTTCTTTCCACCCTCCCCTGATGTTGCTAATGATGAAAGATTTATGTTTTCATTCAGCCACATCCCTTTATGTTCTAAGATAATTTTGAGTCATTCATTCATAGTCAGTAAGAGTCTTGCCAACTACTGGACAAAGATTATTAAGGTTTTCCAAATAAGAAACTTAGTTTTCCTCAGAGACATTTTAATTTGGTATTTTTAAATTATAGTGAGTTTATCCTAATGTGATTTAAAATTGATCATGTTTACTGGTATGGAAGGAAGTCTTTTAATTACAAAATGGTTTTCTGACTGATTGGCTGTATGGGTACTGTATGGGTACACAAAGTAAATTAGGTTTTCCTCCTGAAAAATATGAAAGTCTGTATGAAATGGTTTTGAAATCTCACCAGATTTTAATCTTTGTATAATGCAGTACCTATACATGACATTCAGATTAGAGACACTTGTCATTATAAAATTTTTGAACCTAAAGAAACCTTCCTATTTATCTTTAAATGTGAATGCATAACTTCAAATAAATGTTGAGTGTATTGTATATGAAAGTTTTTTGTGGGATATCTGCTAGTGAAATTGTTAATGTTGCTTTTAAAAATTGGCTTTATTTATAATATTATACTCCTAGTATGAGTATGTCCTAGGTAAATAATAAAATAGTTGATAATGCCCTACCAGTTGGTATATTGAATCAGATTGAAAAATACTTGGGATTTACTAGATTACTTTTATAACATGGGTATATAAAATTCTGTTTTCTTTATTCCTTACCCAAAAGAATGGGCTTGTTTGTTGTTTTATTAAAGCCATATGGGTGTTAGCACCTTAATTGCCATTATTACAGTGCTTCATAAAGCCAATTCTGTAGTATGCTGTTACTCTTCTTTTTCTAATTAGTATATCCTGCACTGAACTTTTTCAATGGACCATCATCTGCTTTATCGCATGTTTCATTGGATTGTTCATACTTGCCTGTTTAATGAGAATGTTGCATAGTTTGTGTCTTTTGAACATAGGTTTTCTTTCTCTTGCTTCATATGAATCTGCTGAATTTTTTAGTATTATCTGTGTAGTTTGCTTCAAGTAATCCTTAAACATTTTTCTTTACCCCCACCCCCACCCTTTTTTTATGAAAGGTTAACTTGTAAGTTTTTGAGAGAACACCATTAAAGCACCTCATGGTTTGTTTTCTGTTTGTTCCCTTCCTTTTCCTCCTTCCCTTGTGTATAAATGTATTTATATGTATGTACCTTTGAATTGCAGAATGCAGTTCTGAGTTGGAATTGTTTTAGCTCTTCATAAATTTAAGGATTTCCTGAAATTTTATGGTGAATATATGCTTGTCCACTTCAGAATTTTTAAAAACCAAATTAGTATGCAATTGAGATGTGTTTTCATCTATTTTGTATTATATCTTTTATAGTAAAGACAAAATTACCTTTTCCTATGGTCCACATGTCACATGTAATAAGAGTGGACTGTCTAAATTTCCTTTATTTTATTTCCCATGGTTTGAAGTGGTTTAAAATTAGTGGACAATTACATAAGTTATCAGGTTTATCAGGATGGGAGCTGATGTAGCATAGCAATTTTCAGTCTAGTCAGTGGGTACCATAAATACTTAAAAATCCTAACAGTTGATATTGAAATCAAACAAGTGTCCACTAGTTTGAAAATTTTACTTAAAATGTAAACTTAGCAAACTTTAGACCAGCTTTCTTAGAACATTTTCAAGGAACAAAAAAATTACAAAAAGAAAAACATGTAGGGAAGTAATTCTGAACTGATAGAGATAGATGAGTATTTAAACAAACAATTCACAAATCATATTTACTGCTAATTCTTGGGGAAAAAATTAAATTCATAATAAATTTGTATTAAATTCTGAGCTTTTGGCTGCTTTGAATGAAGATTCTCTAAATCCATTCCTTTTATCATCTTTTTAAACATTTAAATGTTTTTTAAACATTTAACATTTGAATGAGCAAGAAAAGCAATTCATGGTTTTTGGTGTTCTCTCAATCTTTAGAGTTTTTTTTATTCTTTTGTTTTTCTTTTTCCAAGAGTATGCCATATATGTTGCTGCCCCTTATTTTAGGGGGTGGTAATAAACAGCACTGGTGAAATCTTATGTTTATTATCATACACAAATTCTGTTGGTTTCTGTTTCTGAGTTATTTGTTGTTTTTTCTTTATTTTTTCTCCTTCCCCCTCATTTGCTCATGTCTTGGTTGGCGTTTGGTGGTGTATAACCGTGATTGCGTTACCTTAGCAATAACAATTGGTCGTCTTGGTTACGTTTGTCCTCAAGAGGTGGCCCCCATGCTACAGCAGTTTATAAGACCCTGGTGTGTATTATTCAATCTTTTTTTTTAATTCATTTTTCTTCACTCTTTCTTTCTCTATCTCACTTTTAGATATATTTTCAGTTGGTTACAAAAATCACAATCCTTAATCATTGCCAACCATGTGACTAATCTTGTCCTATCAGGTTTGTGAGGTTTTTCAGTAGCATCGTCATGTATATTTATTTTATGTTGTGGCTAACGACTAATTGATGCATGGGATAAGATTGTCACATGCTTGCTGTGTTAAAAAGCTTGATTATACATAAAGCATTTAAATATCCACCAGAAAAATTAAGATGCATGCAAATATTATAAATTTAGGTTTTTGCATTACGTTTCTGTTTTAGAATTAATTTGGAAACATGGATTGCATTAAATATATGTTTAAACTTATGTATAAAATCTTATTTGCTTGTTAATGTCAGAGTTAAACATCTACACCATAAGTTGTATAGTAATAGTTTATATTGTGGCAGTATATCCTATGTTCTGCTTCTTTCAATTGATAATCTTAATTCAAACCATTTTTAGTGTTTAATGGAATACAAGTTGTAATGCAGTTTTTAAAACTAATTTGTTAATTTACTCTTCTTGGCTCAAGCTCATTAATAGTTTAAATGAGGGAGTCAAATCTGTTGTCTATTTTTATAGATGCAGTTTTTAAAGAAAATATGGCTTATTAGTGTTTCCACTATGTTGAGATGAGATGGGTCCAACATACAGGAAGTATAAGAAGTGGAAAGTTAAGCTTCCTAAAAACTCTTTAATATAATCATTATACTATGGTGCCTATTCCATTAAATACTGTCTGTTAGTATTGTAATTCACTCTTATTTTTACTTAAATGCTAAACTCAGTTTTATAATTTAATAGGTGTACCTCTTTAAGAAACATAAGAGACAATGAAGAAAAGGATTCAGCATTCCGAGGGATTTGTACCATGATCAGTGTGAATCCCAGTGGTGTAATCCAAGTAAGATCTTCACTAAATTTTGTTTTAACTTAGAATATGTAGAATAATAAAATTATAGAAGAAGAAATATTTTATGGCCAGAAATACTGAAAAAACGTATTTAATTTACTTTATTTTATTTTATCTACTTGGTTACATATTGTGCTAGTCCCTGGGCATGAACTTAGGGCCTGAGCACTGTTCATTTTTTGCTCATTCTACCACTTAAGCCACAGTTCCATTTCCAGATTTTTGATGGTTACTTGGAGATAAGACTCTTATGGACTTTGTTAACCAGGCTGGTTCTGAACCATGATTTTCACATCTCTCAGCCCCCTAAGTAGCTAGGATTACAGATGTGAGCCACCAATGCTCGGCTTAAAATATTTATTTCTTAATATCTAGAAATGACAATGCCTGTATCCTAAATATTTTTGTCATTACATTCAATAACAATAGCACATTGGAAGAATAAGATTAGATTCTTGTTTGAATTAAGCCAGGCCTTTTTTTCAGCTGTATTAATACCTTAAATACATGGCTGCTATCCATGTTTCTGAATTGGAGGTTAGAGAGAACCAATCATTACTTTGTGCTACATCTAATAGAAATCAAACCTACAGCAAAACACAATGCTAAGTTAACCATTGGAATTGCTTTACTTTTGAAAGAGGATTGTCTATTCATTTTTTTGTTGTTTCCTAAGTTCACATCCTAAGTTCACATTTTAGTTATTTAGCCACAGAAATTCATGAGTCCAGTCAAATCTGAATCAGTTGACAAAACAGGACTAGTTGAACTACAATATGTGTACAAAACACAGACTGTGATTGTAGATTCTTTTTTGGTTGGTTAGTGATTTACCTGTCTTTTTTTTTTTTTTTGCCATGCTGGAGTTTGATCTTGTACTTGTTAGGCTAGTGTGACTCTGCTGAGCCATGCCTCAATGCCTGCTTTTCACTGGTGCATACTTCATCAGGTGCATCCTGCCTATTTTATAGGCTTCCCATGTCACTGGGTTCACAGGTGTATACCACCACATCCAGCTTCCCTTCATCGAGCCTCCCTTACATGAGGCTAAATCTCAAAAGTTTTCTGCCTGACTAGCCTGGAACTGTGATCCTTGAAATATCAAACTCCTGCATAGCTTAGGATAACAGACTGGAATCATCGTGCCACAATATAGGTTGAGAAAGGTGTCTTGTGAACTTTTCTGCCTAGGCCTCTGCCATCTTTTCAGCCTCCCAAGTAGTCCTCTCAGTCTCCCAAGTAGCAAAGATTACAGACTTGAGCCTTTGCCCTTTGGCTTCATTTTAACTTAGAACCAAAAATTTTAGGCAATATCAGATTTGGAAAGTCTTATTAATATGGCCAGTTTTGTGGCCATATAGGCCTGTAATCCTAGCTACTTGGAAGTTGGAGATTGTGAGGCAGAGATCAGGCTTCACAATTCAAAGCAAGTCCAGGACTCCATCTCAACCAGTAGCTGGATTCCATGGCACATGCTTGTCATCCCATTGGCAAAGGAAAGCACAAATAGGTGGGTCGAAGTTCAAGCCAGCCCACACATAAACTCTTACCTTGAAGGTAACCAACACAGATGGGACAGGCTAAGTGGCTTAAGTGGTAGTGTCTGCTTAAGCAAGCAGGATTTCCTTAGTTCAACCTCTAGTACCACCAGAATAAAAAAGAACCCTAATCTTTTGTGGTTTGAATAAACCACAGTTTAAGCAAATGGCATTTTGTTTACTTAGATATTTATATAATGTTCAATATGTTGATGTTTAATGTTGAATTGTTATTATTTGAGAGTAGAGGTTTTCATTCATGTTGATTGTTTAGGTTAGCTGTTTGTAACTACCTAGTTTTTCTTACAGCTTTGGCTTTAGTTTTTGATGGTACTAGACTTTGAACTCAGGGCCCAATGCTTACTTACTAGGCAAGTGCTGGAACATGTGTGTCATGCCCTTATCCCTTTTTGCTTTTTCTAGCTTAATCTTTCAAATAGGGTCTTGGTTTGATTTACCAAAGCTGGCTTCAGACTATGATCCTTCTCATTTCCATCTTCTAAGTAGCTGGGATTATATGCATAACCCATCACACTTGCCTATCCTAATGTTTTCTTTTTTTTAGCTAAGAGGTTTACATAGGTCATTCACTGAGTTTCTTAAATGTGATGCCAATCTAAGATGTGTTTGTTTGTTATAGGATTTTATATTTTTTTGTGATGCTGTTGCATCCTGGATTAACCCAAAAGATGACCTCAGAGACATGTTCTGTAAGGTAATTAATAAGTCTCTATAATGTACCAGTATAAAGGACCATTAAAATCCTAGTTGAAGAGCCGGGAAGGTGGATCAGTGGTAGAGCACTTGCCTTGCATGCCTGAGGCCCTGGGTTCAATTCCTCAGCACCACATAAGCAAAAAGAAAAAAGCCAAAAGTGGCGCTGTGGCTCAAGTGGTAGAGCACTAGCCTTGAGCTGAAGAGTTCAGGGACAGTGTCCAGGCCCAGAGTTCAGGTGGCACAACCAAGCCCAAAAAATGGGGGGGCAGGGCTCAGTGGCTCAGTGGTAGAGTGCTTGCCTTGCATGCATGAGGCCCTGGGTTCAATTCCTCAGCACCATATAAGTAAGCAGAAAAAGCGGGAAGTGGCGCTGTGGCTCAAGTGATAGAGCTCTAGCCTTGAGCTGAAGAGCTGAGGGACAGCGCCCAGGCCCAGAGTTCAGGTCCCACGACTGGACCCAAAAAAGAAAAAAAGCATGGTTGGTCTTATACCCCTAAGATCCTGCAATTATTCTATCAGTACATTGTGCTCTTTTCAGTCAGTACTACTGATTCACATTGTCTTCTTATTCCACCTAAGGAAATGGCATATGTTTCTAAGATGGTTGACTAAGAGTGGGAATATAAGAAATTGCTGCACAGTAAATCCAATTGCCCTCCAAAAGGATGGACCCTATATAGTACTTGTTTTTTAAGTGCCTCCTTTTGGTTAATTCCAGTCAGCATTCGCTGTAATAGGAAAAAAATACAGTAACAGTAAAATCACGTAATACTGAAATAGTGAGCTGTTGTATGACTCCAGGAATTGCTTAGAAAGTATATCATTTACTAGGCTATTTGCAGAGTTTTAAATTTCTCAAAAAATGTTCTGGTTCCAGAAGCTGTTCAGATCTGAGTTTTTCTTTTTTGTTATTCATAAACTAATGGCATTTCATTATTTACAGATCCTTCATGGATTTAAAAATCAAGTTGGAGATGAAAATTGGAGGCGTTTCTCTGACCAGTTTCCTCTTCCTTTAAAAGAGCGTCTTGCGGCTTTTTATGGTGTTTAATCTAATACACTTAAGCTGCAGTCCCAAAATTAGGGGTAAGTTATAAGAAGTTTAGAAATTTTTTTAAATTTTATTTTGTTGTAAAGATGCTGTACAGAGGGGTTACAGTTACATGAGTAAGGCAGTGAGTACATTTCTTGTCGAGCATTGTTACCCCTTCCCTTGTTCTCCCACTCTCCCTTCTTTCCCCAACCTGCCTCACTCCTCCCCCACCTCCAAAGTTGTAAAGTTCATTTCCAATATTCTGTCTTATGAGTATCATTGTTGCAGTGGGTTATCCTATGTCCTTGTTTCAGCGTTTCATTATTCCCCTTCCCTCCCCAAATTAGACTAATGTATATACAAGATGCAGTGTACCAAATTCAAGTACAGTGACAACAGGGGATATACCATAAGGGAAAAACATACAAAGGAAATAAAAAAAAATCACATAGTACATTGAAAACAACAACAAAGAAAGACCTCTTGTGTCCATATCTTGGGGTTCATTTCACTTATCTTATATGGTCCTATGTACATAGCTTTGGAGCTTTTCTGCTCATCTGATAAAATTAGAAATTTTTAGGATAAAGAAATTAGTTTAGGGCTGAAATCTAACATAATATATCATCTCATGTTATATTGGATAGAAGTTGGAGTTGAAGGCTAGAGCAATTTCTTTAAAAGAATCATCAAGCAAGGCCGGGCACTGGTGGCTCATGCCTGTAATCCTAGCTACTCAGGAGGCTGAGATCTGAGGATCGTGGTTCAAAGCCAGCCCGGGCAGGAGAGACCATGAGACTCCTATCTCCAATAAACCACCAGAAAACCGGAAGTGGCGCTGTAGCTCAAGTGGTAGAGCACTCGTCTTGAGCTGAAGAGCTGAGAGACAGCGCCCAGGCCCAGAGTTCAAGTGGTAGAGCGCTCGTCTTGAGCTGAAGAGCTGAGGGACAGTGCCCAGGCCCAGAGTTCAAGTGGTAGAGCGCTCGTCTTGAGCTGAAGAGCTGAGGGACAGCGCCCAGGCCCAGAGTTCAAGCCCCACGACTGACAAAAAAAAAAAGAATCATCAAGCAAGTTGAAATGTATGCATGTGTCTCTCTCCCTCCCCCGTCTTTTTTGGGGTCCGGTCATGGGGCCTGAACTCGGCCTGGGTGCTGTCCCTCAGCTCTTCAGCTCAAGGCTAGCGCTCTACCACTTGCCACAGCGCCACTTCCGGCTTTTTTCTTTTTTGCTTATGTGGTGCTGAGGAATTGAACCCAGGGCCTCATGCATGCAAGACAAGCACTCTACCACTGAGCCATCTTCCCAGCCCTCCCTCCCCAGTCTTAAAGAGAAATCCATGTTGGTATGCTGGTTAGACTTTTACATTGCTTCATCTAGTCTGCCCCCAAGGTAACATCAGAATTCACAGTGGTGGGGTAAGATTTGTTCAGTTGAGTTTTGAAACATGAATTTATAGTTTCTGATACATAGTGAGATCTTTGGATATTACGAGCTTCAGAGAAATCCATTTGGAATTGAAAATGAGTTCTGGCTTGTATGATAACCTGTGTCTGAACACCTATAGTATGTACTGTTTTAAAATGATCTATGGAAGATTCATTTTAAATTTGGGGTGGTAGAGGCCTAAGTCAGCACTTGGATTCTTGTTTTTTGAGGAGGTACTTGTGAGGACAACAGTTCTGATCTCTTAGCTTTAGTTCTCATTGAGTTGTGCTGGAGGTTAAATACTACATGATGTGCAATACCAGCACTTAGTATATTGCTTGGCACACTGAATCAGCTCAGTAAATGTTAGGATCACAGATAGATCAGTATAGTGAAACAATGTTTTGACATTTGTTAGGTTTTGAACTTGAATTGAGACAAAATTTGGCTGAATGCCCAATATACCTAATTGAATTGCACTTTACATTGCTTTCTTGCTGATTGTTTAATCAGAGCTAAATTTAAACCTGAAGAAATTTGAGTGTCTTATGTTCATATAACCAGGAAAGTAGTGAAAATGACTTTCAGCCTCTGGAATGTTGACAGTCTTTGAGTAGTCTCCAGTCTGCAGAGCATTTTTTGGCTCAGCATTTTGTAAAAGTATTAATACTGAGTTTTCTAATTATATCTAAAAATGAATCAGAATCTTTTATTCTTGCCTTTCTCTGCTCCTTCCATTCTTTACACACATGAGAGAAGGGGGTCATTTATATTTCTTCACAAATGGACTAACTGTTCTGAATTCACATAATTGTTTACAAATGTCCAAAGTTTGGCCTGAGTGGGTAATAGTTTTTTAGTAAATGGACCACTATTAATTATTAAATTCTAATGATCTTACCTAATTTCTTACTGTCCTTTGTTTTTTTTTGGGGGGGGGTTGTTTGTTTTGTCAGTCATGGGTCTTGAATTCTGGGCCTGGGCACTGCCACTGATCTCTTTAGCTCAAGGCAAGTGCTCTACCACTTGAGCCACAGTGCCACTTCCAGTTTTCTGGTGGTTAATTGGAGGTAAGAGTTTCACAGACTTTCCTGCCTGGACTGGCTTTGAACTGTGATCAAATTTCAACCTCCTTAGAAGCTAGGATTACAGGTGTAAACTACTGGTGCCTGCCTTACTGTCCTTTTTTTAACCACTAAGTTGTTTCAAGATTGAAAGGAGTCCTTATCAAGAAAATCAAATGATCTGAGAGTACAGAAGATACTCAAATGAAAGGGTTCAAAGAATAACTAAGTTGGAACATCAGGAAAACAAGAGTTAAATTTTACTTTTGGACATTTACTGAATATTCTGAACTTCATATGATAGCCAGTATTTTTATTGCCTACACTAACAAGCATCAGACAAGCTGGACCCCAGTGTCTTATGCTTGTAATCCTAACTACTCAGGAAGCTGAGATCTGAGGATTGCAGTTTGAAGCCAACCAGGGCAGGAAAGTCCATGAGACTCTTATCTTCAATTAACTACCAGAAAACTGGAAATGGTGCTGTGGCTCAAGTGGTAGAGTACTAGCTGAAGAAGAGCTGAGGGACAGCACCCAGGCCCAGAGTTGAAGCCTCGTGACCAGCTCCCTGTCCCCCTCCCCCCCCAAAAAAAGCATCAGACAACTAAAAGAATCTGATAACTTTTGATGTTTAATTAATTTAAATTATATCCTTAATATTCAGTATGCGCTAGGAAAATGATTGTCCTAAAGATACTACTGTTTAATTTTGGGGGGGTGGGGGAGGGGTCCAGTCGTGGGGCCTGAACTCTGGGCCTGGGTGCTGTCCCTCAGCTCTTCAGCTCAAGGCTAGCGCTCTACCACTTGAGTCACAGGGCCACTTCCGGCTTTTTTCTTTTTGCTTATGTGGTGCTGAGGAATTGAACCCAGGGCCTCATGCATGCAAGGCAAGCACTCTACCACTGAGCCACCTTCTCAGCCCCTGTTATAATTTTAAAGAAAGGTGACTTGTTATGTAAGACATCAGTTGCCATGGAGGTCCATCTGGCAATAAAGGATAAAGAATCAGACTGATAGCATTACCTAAGGCATATTTCATCTGTATAAAAGGCTATCTAGGTCTGTAATATGTCTCCAACTTAACCTCACTTTCAAATTTGATGCAGGGAACAATTGAGAAGGTAGGAGAAGAGTGTAAATTGATTGAGTGATTGAGATTCACATGGTCTTGGGCAATTTGCAATTTGTTCAATTTCTTAATTTCCTTTATAGGTAAAGGTAGCATTACTGTTTGACTAATTTTATGTTCCAGTGACTGAGAAAGAAACAAATGTTAAAGATAAAACTGTGTTTATTATTTTTCTTACAGGTCCTTCTGTGTTGGAGATATGAGGGAGCCTCTGCACCCAGGGAAAATGTTACCCTTTACAGGGGGGAAGGGTAAACCAGTAGGGAATACAGTACAATCCCAACCCTACTGGGAGGGGCGGGAGGGAGGTGTTGCCGTCACTGTATTAAGTCGATGTTGGGAAATGTTTTAACATCTGGAGCCTTTGTGGGTGGAAATCTGTCTCCAATTACAACTCTGCACTGGATGAGAAGAAGCAAAAAAAAAAAAAAAAAATTCAGTCTACTCACAAAACAGTACATTCTGGAATATTATGGGGAATTGTACCAAAACAAGAACCATATAAATGATGCGTAGGGACAAGAAAGAGGGGAAATTGCATAGCGCACAATAAAGAAAACTTAAGAATGGGGGTTACAAACAGTGAAGAAGGTTTTTTTCTTTTTTTACTTAAAAAGTCTTTTATATAAACTTTCCCAAATATGGGGCCTTGTTTTGCATGCTGATGAAGAACTACACAAAAAAGCTAGTACAGTTAAAATCAGCTTGCCTTCCCATAGTAGAAGCAGGTTCTTGGAAGTTAACAATTTAAGGTACCCCCCAAAAAACGTTGGAAATAAAACAAAACAAATTTAAACAATGAAGCACCCTGTGAAATGCCAAACGAGTCACTCCTTTTACCTTTGTGGGCTGGGCAGGGAGGGAGGAATAAATGGGATTGGGCATATCATAACTAAAGATGATATCTTAATTTTACATTAAAACATTAGTGGATATAATTTCATGGTTGTACTTCATTAGATTTAATTTCTAGGCCAACGCGTTATTTTAAAGTGCAGTTAAGATTCAGGCATGCATTCTGGCTCATAGTGATTGAAAGTAATTTAAATTAGTGGGAAAGTAGCATGCCTGCATCACATAGAGTGAGATTGGTATTCATTTACCTATGTTGCGCCAGTTTGTGTTGCAGTTTACCAATTCAATATAGCCCTGCATTTAAAATTCCTTTTTAAGATTTGTGGATTTTATTTTTATTAAGAATATAGATATATAAAGTACTGTAGTTTACAACTAGGCCTTGAAGTATCTCTTTAGGATCTGTTAGGAATAAGATTGATATTGTATTGTGTGTAACCTGCACAATGTGGAAAGCTGATATACCTGTGCAAAATCTTTGCCTCTGTGCTGTCAGTGTGATGTGCTTTCTGCATGGTTATATACTACTAGTGATTTTATCAAAACTTCTAAAGTTTAAATTACATGGTAAAAGATCTGTAAAAGGCTGCATAAATGTTAGTTGGCACATAAAGACAATTGTAGAAGTTGAAAAATGATTGCTATATTTCAATGTTTATTCCCACTCAACATAATGCCTTCTAAGCTTTTCCCCTTTTTTGTTCAAAGCATGATCTTAAAGATATGTTTAAGTTAATGGATGTAATGCAGGGTTCCTACACTGTATTGGCGCATGTTGGTGGCCCTCTGTGCCCTAGATATACGCACACAGGGTACAAGTCAAAAGCTACAGAGTGAAAGTGGGTTTGGATCCTTTTCATTTCATTTGTTTAGCTTTTCTGTTATTTTTCTCTACTTGTATTCCTGTGAATAAATCCTTGTTAAGTTAACCCTTTACTTTTCCTTCCATGTGTATTTTCTTATACTGTGAATGTGAAAACCTAACTGGTACACTTGATCTTATGTCCATATGAAAGTGCAAGTCTTTATTAATTTGGATTGCCTGAGCAGTGTATCCCATGATGCTGAAGGAAAATGGAGAGATTTTTCTTTTTAACTCTGCTGGTCAGAGATGAAGCCACGCCTTTCCATTTTTCAATGCTGCATATTTAATCTGCAACAAAAATGTTAAGCCATAACAGCCTTTTTATATTTTAGTTTGTCACCTTTGCATTGCAGAATAAATACTGAATAACCATTTTTATAAGCAGTTGCTCCTCTTTGCATGGTTCTATTCTCAAAGTGTTGAATGATACAGCCATTGCACTGAAGTTTGAGCTGTGTGTGACTTTATAAATACCATTTCAAAAAATTTCAAATGCATGGTAGCATGCAAAAAGGTTTTTGTTGTGTATGTGTGTGTGTGTTTTAACATGTTTTTTTTAACCTTCTTTCCTCTACTCTGGCTTTGCAAATTTCAGTCTGTAGAACCTAAAATTAAATAATTTTATAATGCTCAATTTTTTAATTATAAATTAAATTCAAAGCTATGTGGCATTTTGCTTTCTAGTATGTTGCTTCTCTGGGAGCTCAAAATTTACTTACTATTTAAGTCTTTAAAACCTGAGTAGATGCTATTTTATTCTTAAATTATAGTGATACCCTCTAGTGCTTTACATACTTTTTAGAATTTAATATGGGTATATTTTAATATTCAAGAATAAGTAGTAAATCTTTTAAATTAGAAGGCCAGATACTTCTTTAAAGATAGTAAAAACAAGTACATAAAACCTTTTCAATAAATTTATCTGAATCTGATTGACAATTGTGTATTAACTTTATAAAAGCAATATTGTCACCTGTCTGATTAAAAATTAAATTGTGGTTAAGCAGATGTATAATGTAAGAATGTACTCATTTTTGTAATCACTTAACCTGTTTCTAAATTTAATGAAATTTTAATGTAGAAAGTTAAGTAGATAGGACTGGCCACCTGAAATTAGGTTGAAAGGAGGGGGTGTATTTCTCCATTAAGGCTATTGTTTCTTCCTAATTTATATACAGTATACAATAACGTAGTATAGTACAGGAATTTGCAGAAGCCATTTAAGTTATCTTTTGAGGTAAGCTCTGATTTAGCATTTATTCTGAAAAAACCTAATACATCATGGGATATATACATATATATATATATAAAGCAACTTCTTGTGGTGTAGTCTTAATAGTTTTGAATGTTGACTGAATGTCTATGAGGTTGTGTTTGTCTTTGTTACATTCCAGTGTTTCCACCTCTTGGCATGCTTAGAGCACGGCTTACTTCATCTGCTCCTTTCACACTAAAATGCTGTTAGTGTGCTCAACTAAGATAGCCAGCCGCTGCTAAGTGATGTAGATTTTCTACTTGAATATTTTTATGTTGTAGGAACCTCAGGAGGTCAGTGTTTACTGTTTTATATATGCCTTCTTTTCCCTGTTTGAGCTTCTCTCTTTGAAGGATTCTAACAGAATAAAAGCTGCTGATCAACCTAAGTTGGAAACAGAAAGTCTTTTATCACTTAAATACTTGGCAGTTCCATGTTACAGTCCATTAGCGAGTAAACTTAGTGCCACAGATATATTCATTTATTCAGGAAATTTGCTTTTTGTATTGTCTAATCTCTTTAATGACTTCATACTGTGTTTTAAAAAATCACTTTTATATATTTTGGTTGGTTATTTCTAAAATAATCAACATGTAAATATCTTTGAAAGCCAGTTCTGATGCTTTACATTTTTGCTACTTGATTTTGTTATGCAGATTAGATTTCAGAAAGATAAATTTAAAACACTTAACCAAGCCATTACATCTTACAGACAGAACAAGTAGCATACATTTTATAACTAACATTGATAAACACTGTGATTTTTTTTGGTTAAGACTTTTTCATTGATCTGAATTGCTTAAATTGCATATATTGTAAAATAGAATCAGATGTATATTTTAAAATAGTTTCAACTGACTTTCTTCTCTAAATGCTTTGTCTACTCAGTTATGAAATATTCAGATACAAGTTTTATCTCAGGTGAATATCCTTGTATCATTTTTGCTTTGGTGACATATGCTTGTAAAAGGTCATCATCATACTGTCTTAGTTTTTTGTTGTTGTGGTTGGGTTTTTTTAGTGTACTTCATTGAGAATCATCCCATTTTTCCAATTGTAGTAGACTAGAGTGGTATAAAACCTTCCCAAACCCTTTCTACATGAAGGTTGCCTGAAAGTTCCTCCTCCAAACTTACAAAAATAGGAAAGTAGAAATTTTTCTCTCCTGTATAAAATTTCTCTGCATAGCTGAATTGCCAGACTTAATTTAATTAAACTGAAGTCTAAATTTAAGAACTTTGCCATGAGAAAAAAGTAAGGTGTTTTTTTTTTGCTTTATAATCTATATTATTCATATTGAATGTGTAACAGTTAGCAAAGCAAAACATTCTTTCCAAGAGAAGAGTGTATTGTGTATAACTGCAGTTCTAGTCCTTTCTTTGGTAGTACTTCAAAACACAGCTGTGCTTACGATAATACTTTTGCAAATATTACAAGGGGTGGGGGAAAAATGTTACCACTAATATTGTTAAGTAAAGGCATTGAAGTCTAAGAAAACTGGCCATGAAATAGTTAAGGGATTGATTGGGATGATCCAGATGAAAAATGAGATAAGCTGTGTTAACAATATCATCTAGTATTAATACCATGCAGTAGCATTGTATACCTACCAAGCCTGGTGCATTTTGTACTGTACTAAGTATGGCAGTGCTTCTATGGTCTCTAATTCACATGAATGTTAGCTTCATTTACCTCTGTATACTTTTGGGGTGACTTGTGACTCACTTTTTCAGTCAATATAGATCTTTTACCCCCATTGGCATTACACGTATGTAGGTAGTTCTCTTTACCTAATTATTATAAATACTATTTTAAGGTATACATTTAAACTACAGCAACTTTATTGTGATTTGTATCCCTGAATATATGCATGATTTTGAGAAAAGTTAAAAATGGTGGTATTTTTTCCATCTCTTGTACGTTTTAAAAACCAAGCCAGATCCATTTGCCAAGCAGAATGTCACTACATTTACTTAAAAAAAAAAAACAAAAACTGGTTTTCTTTTTTAAAAATATATTTTTTGTTTCTTTAATTAGCATCCCTTATTCTGTGGCTTGGCATTATGCAAAATTCCTTATTTTACTGATCTTAATTATATAGTTAAAAAAGCCTGATATACCATGGTAGCCTGTAAGGCAGTTTTGGTCCCTCCTAATGTCAATCTTATAAGAATTCCACTGTCCTCTTGTTCCTTCGTTGTTTTGTTTTATGGATATATATAACCAGTTTGAGCTTCATTGATTTTATGATGATAATAATTAGACAATACTATAATTAATTTACTCAATACATTGTCATCTTCAGAAGAGATGTTTTTATGTGATAAATCACTTCATATTTAAAAGTTTTACACTTAATATTCATGTTAACATTGGGTGCAATAATTTAGTAGTATTAGCTTTAGTTATAAATAACTGGATATTTCTGCTGACAACTTAGGTTGTATGAGTTATGCTTAAAAGCTTTAAATCTGATGTTTCCTGTACCTGCCACCCTTTGTTAGAATGTGTCCTTCAAACATACCCTCCTGCAATTTCTCAAACTGTACTACATTGATATTTCTTGAAGTCTAACTCTGTGCTAACAGATCTTCATTTTAAATAGAATACGGTTTTAATTTTTGATAAGCTGCTGAATTTTAAAGAGAGTTTTTTGGGGCCACCAAATATTTTGGATCATGCAGAGAATATATATTGTACTGTAGTAATTTTGTATTTACATTTGTATGATGTGACATAATAGATGTGAATGTTAATCACTGCTTGACTATGTTAATAAAGTTGTTTAACTATAGATGTTGCACTCTGATTTTTAATGGAAGGATGAACTTTCTTTGTCACCCTCCCTCATCTTGGGTCCTGATAGTCTTACGGGTTTTTTGCTTTTTGGCAAAAGTTTGTTCAGTTGTTATTTTCCTCAACGTACACATTAATGTGCATTTGTCTTTAAGTTAGATATTTTATTTAGTAAAATAATTAAAAACACCTTTTCCCCTACATTTTAAATAAGGTAAAAGCTGTGAATGTAAGACATGTATGAAGATAGATTTATATGAGTGTATGAATGTATATCCCATTAAGGATTTCTGTAATTAAGACTGTTTATTCAAAAACTAAGGGTTGTAATTTTGAAGTTAACATAAAAATATTCCTCTTCAGGTTGTAATCTTAATAGCTTCTTGTTACTAATTAAAAGTAAATGCATTAGGACATTTCAGAGAATAAGTTGTATATAACTGTCAAGTGATCTTTTATTTGAGTTTTGGAACAGAGTAGGGCCTAACATTAGTTAAGTACAGTCAAAATTGCAAAAAATGAGAATTGGGTTTCTTTTCTTTTTGTTACCTCTGTGTAAAAATGTTAGAGATACCATGATTCCCTTGACAAGAAAATCATGTACTAAAACACAATTTCAGGAAAGAATTTAATACTCAAAATGTAGGACTTAGTTTTTGGAAAGAAGTTAAAAGTGGGCTTACCCATTTGCTCAAGATTTTCATTTGTTGCAGTCATCTTTAAAAACAGCCAGACATCAGTGGCTTAGACCTGTAATCCTAGCTACTCAGGAGGCTGAGATTTTGAAGTCAATCCTGGGCAAACAGACCTGAGAGTTAGACAGCAGAAAGCTGGAAGTAGAGATGTTATATATTGTAGAGGACCAGACGGTCAAAAAAGCTAAGTGAGCATTGAATTAATGCAGTTTTATTTGGTGGTGAAATGATAGTCTTGACTCCTAATGGTTTATATTTAATATGATTAGGAATGTTTGGGAGAACTGGCAAGTGGAACCACACAGCTCTTGAGTTTGGATTTTCTAGGTGCTATGCTATTGGAAATGGAAATTAAATAATTAGAATAACAAGTGAATGATTCTGAATGAGTATTAATACAATTACCCAGTGATACAACATGATCCTGTATGAATACATAATTTCTGCACTGTTTTTAGTTGTTAGATTTTATGTAGATCTGTCAGATGGACACAGCTACACAGTAATGTATGAGCACTTTACAAAACTGCTGGCCACACACCAGTGGCTCACACCTATAATCCTAGCTGCTAGGAGGTTGAGATCTGAGGATCTTGGCTTTGAACCGACCTTGGCAGGAAAGTTCCTGTGATGAGACTTTTTTTTTTTTTTTTTGGTTAGTCGTGGGGTCTGAACCTGGCCTGGGCACTGTCCCTCAGCTCAAGGCTCTTACTTGACCACGTGAGCCACAGCACCACTTCCGGCTTTTTTTCTGTTCATGTGTTGCTGAGGAATTGAACCCAGGGCCTCATGCATGCAAGGCAAGCACTCTACCATTGAAGCTACTACCTTCACAGCCCCAATGTGAAATTCTTATGTCCAATTAACCACTCAAAAAATGAAGTGGCACTGTGGCTCAAAGTAGTAGAGCACTAGCCTTGAGCAAAAGAGTTCAGGAAATGGTAGCCAGACCTTAGATTCAAGCCCCACAATCAACAAAACAAAAACTTCTGACTTGAACATTGAAAAGTTATTTAGAGGCCATGTGCTGGTGGCTCATGCCTATAGCTATCTGGAGGCTGAGATTATGAAGCCAGCCTGGGCAGGAAAGTGTGAGATTCTTATCCCCAATTAACCAGCAAAAGAGCCAGAAGCACTAGTCTCAACTATAAAACCTCAAGGAGGGGCTGGGAACGTGGCTCAGTGGTAGAGCACTTTGCATGCATGAGGCCCTGGGTTCGATTCCTCAGCACCACATAAGCAAAAATAAAGCCGGAAGTGGTGCTGTGGCTCAAGTGGTAGAGTGCTAGCCTTGAGCTGAAGAGCTGAGGGACAGCACCCAGACCCGGAGTTCAGGCCCCATGACCGTACCCCAAAAAAAGTAGAAAATACCTCAAGGAGGGCTGGGAATGTGGTTTAGTGGTAGAGTGCTTGCCTAGCATGCAAAAAGCCCTAGATTTGAATCCTCACTACTACATAAACAGAAAAGACCGGAAGTGGTGCTGTGATTCAAGTGGTAGGGTGCTCACCTCTAGCAAAAGAAGATCAGGGACAGTGCCTGGACCCTGAGTTCAAACCCCAAGACTAGCAAAAAATAAAACTCAGGAACAGCACTCAGGCTTTGAGTTCAAGCCCTTGGACTGACACAGACAAACAAGAAAAGTTACCCTTTTTTCACTCAGGAATAATTTAAAGTGCTTTAAAACTTTTATACATTTACTGTGCTTTAGTGAAATTGTCAAGTCAAAAGAGGTGTTTATTATTGCAGTCATATATACCCAGCAGTAGCTTCAAAGGTGCTGCTATGTGTTGTGCTATGTGTTAGTTTAATAGTGTGTTTAATTTTAGGAGATTTTATGTTAAAAGATTACATGTTTTCATAGTACATATTTAACATGGGTCTTATATTGCAGGCATTGCTCCCTGTTCTCATGTGAGATACCTGCATAGTCTGGCAAGTGCCCTTAGGTATTACATGGCAGAGGGATGTGGCTTGAATGCTTAGAACAATGGACCAGGAGAGTGGTAGGTGAGATCTAAGAAGTAGCTGAAAGCTACATGTGTTCGTCAGCTTTATACTTAGATGGAATTGAAGTGTTAGTGGAGGTTCTACTTATATACTAGCATCTGAAGAGTTGAAGCAGCTTCAATAAGGGTGGTGGTAGAGAAGGTGAAAAGTGTTTTGGATGTTTAAAGAAGTAACCTAAGGATGCAAAAGTAGTGGATGTAGTTTGTGGGTCAAGAATTACCAGTGGTCTAGTGAGGCTGGGAAGGTGGCTCAGTGTTAGAGCGCTTGCCTTGCATGCATGAGGCCCTGGGTTCGATTCCTCAGCACCACATAAGCAGAAAAAGCTGGAAGTGGCACTGTGGCTCACGTGGTAGAGCACAAGCCTTGAGCTGAAATGCTCCCATGACCAACAAAAATAGAATGGTCTAGTGAGCTTGGTGCCAATGGTTCATGCCTATAATTCTAGCTACTTGGGAGCCTGAGATCTGATTATCCTAGTTAGAAACCAGACCAGACAGACTAGTCCCCCTGAGACTCAAGTTAACTACTCAAACACGAAGTGGCACTGTGACTCAAAGTGGTAGAGCACTAGCTAGCGTTGAGCAAAATAGCTCAGGGACTATGCCCAGACCCGGAGTTCAAGTCCCATAACCGACAGAGGTAGAGAGAAAAAAGAATGATCTAATGAGTAGACAAAAAGGTGAAATTGCCTTACCTAGAATAGTAAAGCTCTAGTATTTGGCATGAGTCAGCCATGAGAAATGGATTTGGCCATTGGTGTTTTAGGGAATAATCTGGCTGCAGATGGAGAACTGGTATAAATAGTTGAAACCATGAAGCTGGGAAATACTGAAGACTGGAGAAGTGAGAGATGGCTGGGACAAAACCTGAAGCATTCCGCAAGGTGGAATTCAGGTAGAAGGACTGAGATTTGGGGCTGGGAAGGTGGCTCAGTAGTAGAGCACTTGCCTTGCATGCCTGAGGCCCTGGGTTTGATTCCTCAGCATCACATAAGCTGTGGCTCAAGTGGTAGAGCGCTAGCCTTGAGCTGAAGAGCTGAGGGACAGTGCCCAGGCCCAGAGTTCAGGCCCCACGACCGGATCCCCCCCACCAAAAAAAAAAAAAAGGACTGAGATTTATCTGTGGAGGTCATTGGTTTTAAGTATCTATCAAAATGATGCTTCACCCACCTCCTTCCAAGAGGGTCTAGAGACCTTGGGCTTTCATATTCTCAATGTCACCATGGTTGACACTGAACTGCCACAGTGTCCTGGATGGATTATATCTCTAAATGGCCTCCAGCTTCTAGTGTCCACACTAGGAAAAAGTAGCAATATGTTTACAGGAAACTAGGAAGTGTTTACTACTGCTGTATGAATAGGCAGCTTTAAAAGAACTAAATCCAGAAACATCTTAATGTTCATGAAGTTAGTATGCCTAAAGTTAATTAAAAAGATGGATTACTTGACAAGTGTTGTAAAAACAATAGCTATTTGCAAAGCAAATTGGATCCATGCTGTATACACCAGAAAGAATTCAAAGTACAATGTTAAACTTAAGTTTTAGCATGTGGGCTAGACATTTCTAAGTATGAGAGAAACACCAAAAATTTTTAAGTTGATCTTTATTTAGGGCTGGTGGAGTGGCTCAAAAGGTAAAAGTTCCTGCCTGGCGAGCTTGAGACCCTGAGTTCAAACTCCAATAATAGGGGGAAAGATGATTTTTTTAACTTTTTGTATGGAAATCTAAAAACAGGAAACTTGAATTTGGCAGCTCCTCTTACAGAACATGCTCTATTTCCTCAGGTTGTAAAGCATTGTGAGTCAGTAAGAGATCCCAATAGAAAGACAAAGGATACTGAGCAATTCCTCTTATAAAGACAAAGGTCAAGAGTCTTGTAACTCACTCCTTCAGGGACTACAAACAGTGGGAGCGAATTAACGCAATGGGAAGGTTGACCTAGAAATGATCAAAACTGTATACGTAGGCATTTGTGCTTAAGAGGTAGGTTCAGCAAATTTTGTTATTGGAACATGATGGTGTATTTAATACAAACCTGTACAATGTGGACAGTTGTAGCACAAATGGAATTTAAACAGAAAAAAAAAGTAAGTAAAGGTGATGAGAAATTTTCAGCTGTTGATCTGAAAAGTTGTTGATTGACATGTAGCAAATAATTATATTCTTTGAAGCAATAAGTCTTCTCTTAAATATTTAACATATATGACAACCAATAAGTGGAAAGGTGCTATCTTCACATTCACTAAATTGGAAATTAAGTCTTCATGAATGTTTGTGAATTATGGCAGCAGAGAA